TTCTGTCTACAATTGCAGACATCGCCCCCGTCTCTGTGTTCCCCCCTCTTCTCCCCGGACACTGAAGGAGCCTTACTGTTGGGTGCCTGGGAGGTCCGGGAGAGCTCCCGCTCCGCGGGGTGACTGTTCCTGGTGATGACAACAGGCTCTTCCACTACGTTGATACTGTTACACTGCATCAGGTCCTGAAGCAGGTTAAAGATCTCCTCTGCTCTGGAACACTTGAAGGCAAAAATCCCTGCACAGTAACGAAGAGGAGGGTCAGAAAAGCAAGAAAGCGATCCTGCTCTTAACAAGAGTATATGTAATTCCCAGCTCTAAATGAACAGGTAATTCTGATTTCTTTTGCTGTGTTTAACACAATCAACCCCTACAACCCACAGCCACAGGAGAACAACCAACGACTTGGTGGATTATTGCATCAACAGAAATACAATGCCATGACTGCCATCTGACCAAATGGTGCATTATTACAAGAAAAATATTGAGCACCCCAGTTATCTTAAGACGATTGATCCCACACGAGCAGAGATGTGAAAGGGACAGGTTAACTGGTCTCGTTTCATCTCTAATCTTGTATTTTAACTCACTTGGTACTCAGTCCAGTTCTCATTGCCAGGGGAAAGTCTATCCAGTGACTACTTGAAGCTGAACTGGGCCCTGTGAGGTGTGCACGTGAGGGAGGGAGAAGAACGTCATATTTCAAAAACGTATGGAATTAAACAGTGTCTCCCCAAACGAGCAGCCCGCACCGGAGCTGGTGTGTGCAGAGCTAACCAATCCCAAGCTGGCACGCACACACACGCACAAAAGCCATAGCAACGGGAACGGCATGGCAACAACGGCTGCTACCCCAAAGAATAAGGTTTTAAACATTCCGGCCAAAAAAAAAATAGCTATATCTGCCTTACATAAGGTGGGGAGCAGCATCAGGAAGGAGTCCTCCAAATAAAATTAACTAAGCAGAAAAAAAATCCTACAAGGAAGGGAGAAAACTCCTCAAAACACATCACCATCCCTCTCACTTCTGTCTGTTTTAAGACTGATGAGTAAGTATGTGCCTGCTAAAAATTTTGTAATATATGAAGAGCAAATGGCTCTGCTTTATCCTCACTACCTAGACCTAAATAAAAACCAAAACACACACAGGGCGGAATTCTAACCATTGCATCCTGCAAAAGGCAAAACAGAAACCAAAGACAAGCAATTCCCATCGCTGGCAACTGATAAGCACACGACTCCAGGAGAGGAAAACCCCACTTACATAAATATTAAAAAGGAGCATACGGCACTACAGCTTTGCACAGTGCTTTACACAGACACTGAACAGTCACGCGGAGTCCTTTTGGATAAGAAGGAGTTTACAAACACATTAATAGAACAAGGAAACAAACTTTTTTTTCCCGGGGATGCAGATGCCAAGAAAATGTTCAGCTCTTTAAAAGCAAGAGAGACAGACTGGTAAAGGAACTAACAGGCACCATTGTAAAACTGGACTCTATTCCCGGCATTGCTGATGACTTGGCATGTACAGCATTCCCATGCATAAAATCAGTAAAACGTAAAACTTCTTTCCCTCTACGTTACAAAGTGGTGCCAGACACAAAATGCAAAGCGTTAAGTAGAACTGGCACTAACCAAGGCAGAGCAAACTCAGAGAAACATAAAATGTGCTCAAACAACTATTGTTACTGACGTGCATTTGGCAGCTCTGTGGAATACGCAAACCCTAAGAGGGACCTGCGAAAAGGTGCAGGTGATGCCCTTAAAGTTTTATCCCCAGAGTTAAAAAATGCTTAACAAAGCTTCAGTCTTGCAAAAAGAACTTTCTGGCTCCTAAGAAAAGAAGGCCAGCAACCTCTCCTACCATAGCTGTGCATCACTCGGTACTGAAGCTGAGAGCTGACAGTGTAACTAACATCCTCTCTGACATTAAGTCCAAAGCTCAAGCCTGCTTCGCCAATTACCTCATGAGCGTCGATGCACTAGCAAAATGAGACCATTAGATTTATGCCCAGGTCCTGATGTTGTTCTCATTAGTGTTTCAATCAGGAATATTAACTGTATGTGCATGCACACTCTGGTATTCTGGGGGAACAGAGGCTGCAGAAGAACCTGTTGATTCATTAGATGCAGGAATTTGGGAAGACACAAGCATCGGCTCACTCTGGCTCAGAACCTCAGCAGTTCCTTCCTCCAGGAACCTCCACACTCACCCTGCCCCGTCTGGCAGCGACGACCGCTCTCGAAGGAGAAGAGGTTGGAGTCATAGCCATAGCGGCGCAAGCAGAGGTAGGGCCACCTGACAGCATCTCGCTTGTGAGTGTGCAAGATGAGCTCCGTCTGTGTCAGCTCCATAATCCCAGATCCCAGCTCGTTACCTTCATCGTCCACGTTCGTTACCTGCAGAGGCCACAGAGATCACATCAGGAAACTCAGTGCATTGGTATCAAAAAAAGCCCACCCACGAAGACACTGTAATTCCCATGGATTCCCCTTTCATTACTGAGATGCCTTTTCTCAGCTGAGAGCATGAATTCACTGCTGGCAGAAGGCGCCAAGCCGGCAGCCCTGGAGACTGTGTGCTTGGCAGTTCAGCTGATGTGTCTCAACACAGACACTGGAACACAGCCCTGAGCAATAAAAGGTTTCTCTCCAGTTCCCCATTTCTTTGCTCGGCTGAATCTCAGTGCAGAGGCAATTTCTACCGCAAATACAAACATTATTTGCAGCAGAGGTTGCTTAAGGAAAGGAAAAAAATAAGCCAACAAACCAAAACAGTAACATCTTTGCAAATCTTATCAAGTGAAAGACTTCTCTGCAAGAGCAGAGGTTTTCTTTCCTTTCGTGCCTGGAGTCCAACCCATGCTGGGCTTTGCTAGTAGTCGGTGCTGTCACAGACTCTCTGATGGGGATGAAGGTATGATACTTACCTTAAATTTGGTGGGATGGTTGTCTGGAATGCTGTCTCTGCACAGACAACTGCAGCAGCTCCCCATGACGTCAGCATAAGAGGTAATCCCTGGGGAGAGGACACAAAACAGAGGACAATCATATTTTGAAAACCAACTCCTCCCACCTTCTCCAAACACAGCCTGTATCCTCCTTGATCCCCCTGCACGTGGCCCAGTGGGTTTGGATCTCAAACTCTTCAATGTGTTCCTCGATTAATGGACACCATACAATATAAGGCTAATTGAAAATAACAGCTTTCTTACCATTAGGCAATTGTTGGATTTTTCTGGAGGAGTGAGAAAAAATTCCCACTACTGTCCCTCTATCTCCTTCGGGACTTCATGGTAACCAGGTGTCAGAGTCACCTAAAACACAAGGGAAACTGTCCCATCTTCCACCTGACAAGGAGAATACAGTTAAACAAATTAAAAAAACAGAGAAGATTAAAAAGCAGGGGGTGGAGGGGTTGTGACTGAAGTTCCCTTTAAATATCACAAGGAAGGCAGGTGCACTTTTGGTTTTTTAATTAAATTCCTGCACTTACATGACTATAGAAAATAATTCTGCACAGACCACTCCTGTAATTTCTGAAAAAATACACAGTCTACAGCTAAAAAAAAAAATAGAAATAAGAGATATTTTACTTCTTGGCTTTGGGATCCTACACAGGAGTGAGGTTTATCAGAGCTACTGTAGTGCAAATAAAACACAAGAGTAATACTGAATGGCTGAGAGCGGTGAGGATAGGAGGAATCACGTGCATCTGCTGCTTAGGAATGTGAAGATACCTTCACTCAATGGAATGTCCTTAAGGGTCAGAGAACCAGCAGCCTTAAAAGCAAGTGAACACAACAGCTGTTCTACTTTGGACTATGAAAAGCAACAAATGCCAGAAAACATAAAAACTCCGCTATCTGACAACAGTCAGCAAGCGCAAATATCAAGCAGGAGTTGCACGCACTAGTAGTGAAAAATACTGCTATCTTTGATGCAAACTTAAAGGACTCCACATTCGCTCTAGGGCAGGGGATTCAGCAGCAGGTAACACGAGAGGATGCCACGTTTTATTTGGCGAGAACAGCTAATGATCTCTCCATCTGAGGTGTAAGAGAACAAAGCCATACAGATAACCAGCCTGGCACTAGAGCAGTAAATAAAATGAAAAGGCTATTGGAAATCTCGCACTCTGCCATGCCAGAATCTGCCTCACCAGTCGCTCCAAATTAAACAATGAATCACGGAGTTGCATCTCCGTGCAAAACCACATTGCGCAGCTGCCCTCAGGCTCCCCCGCAGCGCAGAGCAGCGTGGAGGGAGAAGGAAGAGCCGGCAGGGAGCTGACCAAGGGGTCCCATTTAATTTTTTAGATCAAAACAGAACGTAAATTACCTTCTACTGCAACCCCACGCCTTAGCTTTGGCCCCTGAAGAATTCCCCAACACATCCTAACCCTGCAAAGTCCCCCAGAAGAGGAATGCTTCCTTTTGAGCAAGCTGGAGGAGCTCAGGCACAAATCAAGCTGGCTGTCGCCCGTCCTCTTGCACATACCCGTCACCCCTAACAGTAATAACACCACACGCTCCCTGTCCAACACCGCATCCTGCTCAAGCCATCCTATTTGTTTTTCTAGACTCAGTATGGATTTACTCCCTGCTGACCTTACAGGCTTTGATCAATAATTTAGCAACAGATCCCTCTCCGCTTCATCTAATCTGGTCACTAGGTACCTTGTCCTCTACTGTCTCTGCTCTCCCACTCCCATCTCATCAATTCCCTCAGTAAAAAAAAAAAAATCTTGTAGAAAACACGTTACCTTTGCCCCCTCTTTCTTCTTTATTCCTCTCTCCCTCTGGCGCTCCCTCCACCTGTGTCTGTCTAACCTGCGAGGGAGTTGGGTTGGAGTGCTGTCGCCTATCCTGAACAGTTATTATGGTCAGAACTGAGCAAACGAGAAAAAAAACATTGCGAGATCCCTGAATACTCCCTCAGCGCTTCCCACTACTCCTCGCTGTTGAATATTTTAGTGGCATCCCTTTCACACTGACACCAAGACTCTCAAGACTCCTGTCTCTTGCTCAGCGCTTTCGACATGCACCTTTCCGACGGCTGTTTGCCAGTTCATAGCCTTAACTAGTTGGACCAAACCCTCTAATAGTAGGAATACACTTCCCTGCGAGCAAGAGCACGTGCCTCCTAAGACCAGCAGCCCCATTCTCCCCTCCAGTCTCCCCATCTCCCAGCACCCAGACCTAAATCCTCCTCCAAGCCTTCGCAGCCCTCCTTGGCCCAGTCTCCAGACCACAGCTCACCTCTCCCGATTTCGCAGCCGGGTCGTCCGCTCTCCTCCCAAACCCTCTGCTCCCGCAGAGGC